GATCACTACACCATGAGCTAATGAGTGGGGGGGGGGGGGGGGGGGTCTCTCAAGGATCTTGTTACAGTTTTGTAATTTTGTACATTATCAATTAGAATGTTGTTGTTTTTTTTACTAAAATGTGTGGCGTTTAAGAGCACAATATGAATATATGATGAAATATTTAATTTAAAAGACCGTTTCCTCAAAAACATGTCAAATTAACATATCACATATCTATATAATTCTTTTTTTGAAAGACCCCATGAAATTGACCTGTGGTCTACACTGTAAAAATGACAATTTTAATGATAAAAGACTAAATACGTTACAGTAAAATCCTGCTAATGGTAAATGGTAAGTTTCCATATTCTATACGGTGAAAAATTGTAATAGATAAATTGTAGAAAATTATAATAATTACATTTTATTTCATAAAATGTACATACAGTTTGTGGAAGTGAAAAAGTCGTCTTATTTACACTGAAAAGCTGTAAATTGATGTCCCCAGAATACCACAGCTCACAATCGGTTTTTATTTTAAATAAATGTTTCTTCATGACGTTCAAACCTGTATGCATTTTTTTCTGTTGAGCACAAAAGATATTTTGAGAAAAAAAGTAAACATTTTTTTGTGCATAAAAAAATGTTTGCTTATCAACGTTCAGATATAATCTTTTGTGTTCCACAGAAGAAAGTAAGTCAGGTTTGGCAGTGAATTGTCTCTTTAAGAGCGTCTGCTACTGGCATGCAATATCAAATCATGGTGAGCAACTAAAGCCTATTAACTTGAAAATAAATATGTAAATTAAAAAGCCCTTCAGGTTGTCCCAGTTCAGTACTTCCTGTTTGGAAATGATAAGAAAAGAAATTGCTTGTCAAGCCGTTTCATGGGGTCCTTATTGTGCATTCAAGTTTGATCAGTGAACTGAGCAAAGTAATATTGTTTAATCTGTTTTCATTAATGTAACCATTTATTGTCTTCTAATATTGATGTTGCTGCAGCCGTGCCTAAGTAACCTTCATTAGTAGGGATGTAACTCTGTCTGCCTGTTCCTCATTGCAGCAGCACTGAGCTGATTTATTCGCTGCGATTAATATCAAGGGATGCACCGATATGAAAATTTTGGCCGATACGATAACCGATAATCCTTTATTTTTGAAAGCCGATAACCGATATGTTGGCCGCTGCAGGATGCTGGAGGTATTGAAGAAAAGAGACACTCAATATAGAAGATCTTTATGAGTTTAGGAACTGAAGGCTCTCGATCTCCCGTGAGATCTTTCTGTCTGCCTGTTCCTCACTGCAGCAGCACTGAGCTGATTTATTCGCTGCGATTAATATCAAGTGTATAATGATCCTGAATAAGTGGTTTTCATTTGAGTTTATATATCTGGGTCTCATTCCTCAAAGCAGACGATTGCTGTGCGATTGGTTGTTTTAATTGGTTGTGTGTATGTTTCAGGACCGTAAGCTGACGAAGGTGGAGAGGCAGCGCTTTAAAGAGGAGGCTGAGATGTTGAAGGGGCTTCAGCACCCAAACATCGTGCGCTTCTATGATTTCTGGGAGTCTCCGCTGAAGGGGAAGAAGTGCATCGTGTTGGTGACAGAGCTCATGACGTCAGGCACGCTCAAAACGTGAGGACAGCTCTGCTAAACCTCTCAGACAGACACATGATGTAAAACATTTAAAAAACCTCATTGGGTCAAGCTCAGGGCAATGAATTTAAGCATTTCTGAGACTAAACCAAGGCCCCAAATTGTCAAGCCTCACTCAACTCACAAGTAGTTTTCTCTCCGAGAAAGTGATGTCAACTTAATGCCAGCTTCACTTTAAAGGACAGTAGTAGACAATAACTTGAGGGACACACTAAAAATGTGTATTATTATTGTTAAATTTAATTTAATAATTGAAGAAATCTTTACAGTAAAGAGAATATAGGCCTACTCAGCAGTGTAAGCAGATTACAAAAAAATCTATATCAAATTGAAAAATTATTATTTTGGTAGTTTAAAATGTTGTAAAAGTTTGCTTTTTTAATCAAATTTTAACAATATGTTAAAAATGTATGATGACAGCTTTAAAATATATCATTCAGCGTTTCAGGGCGGTAAGATCGTGATCTTTACTGGCGACACAAAAGGCACCAAATGTAAGGAGTGACCTACATAATAGTTAAAGTACACCTTTGTTTACGTCTGTGTGTAAACCACTCGGCAACCACTTTGTAGCAACCACAACTGTTTCTGAGGCGCTACATTGTTTGGCGGAAGAATACTGTGTTTATTAATATCAGCACACTTTATTTGCTCTGTTTTATTTTGTGAAACCTTACTACGTATATGGAATAACCGTTTTATAAAAGCAATAAACGCCGTGAAGCCATGGTTTACAGTGAATTTATAACAGCTTCACGTCGTTCCTAACAACGCCACTTAGCTGTTATAAATTCACTGTAAACCACGGCTTCATGGGGCTTATTTCTTTATTATGAACTATTCTGGTTCATCCGATTATGCTTTCAGCTAGCAATGAGTGTAGTACTCGTTTGACCACGTCCAAACCCATTTCACAGATTCCCCCCCACCACAAAAAACATCTATAGATTACAAGACCACCTGCAACATTTTGTCATTAATTTGAGATTAAGCTAAATTGAGCCCCATTAAAGCAGAGTGTGTGTTTCTCTGTGGATCGGAACATCATTGCATGCTGTCGTTAGCTTGTGTGATCATGTCCTCAGGTACGCCGGAGTTCATGGCCCCAGAGATGTACGAGGAGCACTACGATGAGTCCGTGGACGTCTATGCGTTTGGCATGTGCATGCTGGAGATGGCCACGTCTGAATACCCATATTCAGAGTGCCAGAACGCCGCTCAGATCTATCGCAAGGTCACCAGCGTAAGTCACACCGCACTTAAACATATGTTCTCATGTTCTTACTGCAGTGGTCATTTCAGGAAGAATGCTGTGATTGTGTGACTGATTTAGTCCTTGAGATCTGTTTATGAAGATCTGCCTCAGCGTGTTCCTGCATGTTCATAGAGCACAAACAAGGAAATATAAAGCATTAAAAGTCAACATATTATTCCCCTGAATTGGAGTCTCTCCACAAACATGACTATTTTCATGGAAAACTCTATTCTGAAAACCTCTGTTGTGGATGAGCAACTGCATTAATACCAGTTTGTAGCATTATGTTGTAACATTTTTGGAATTGATCCTTTGCAGAAGACCTGCCCCCCTTAGTTACTGTTGCTACGTCCACTCTCACGCAGTGAAAAATACATTGCGGAGCAAAGAGGACACTGAGAACATGCCAACAGACGAGACAGAGCAGGTTACTTTAGGTATGAAACGTTACTTTAGGTCTCAGCTTTCAGATTTTGTAAGGAATTCAAACAATAAATAGTGTTTTGTGGCTATTTAATGTGTAGTGACAGATCGCTGTAGCGCCTCAGTTCAAGCGGCATGAGAACTGATCATCTCTTCCTCTTAGTATCTAAAATAATTATATAATGATAAAAAAAAACTAAAATAATAAAATAAAAGAATTAAATTGTAGCATTCCAAAAGTTTGGGAGCGAAATGAATTCTTGTGTGTGAAATCAATATCTTTAGCTCCTTTCTGTTCTTTTTTTTATTTAAAGCTTGGTTTGTCTTATTTTAATGCATGTAGTCTTGGTTCCCTGCGGTTGAGAATCATTGATCTGGACTCTTCAGAGAGTCAGTCCTTATCTTATATTCATATGTTCTGTGTGTGATTTATCTTAAACTATTAAAAGTGTTGGGTTAATAGTTTTAGAGCCAGGTCTAATGAATTAATGTGTGTGTTGTGTGTTGTGTAGAGGGGGCTGATGGGTATTGATTTCAGTGGCTAACTCGATCAGTGATTCAGCTGTCCTGCGTCGTCTCTGTTTCTCTGGGAGTGTGTGTTTGATGGTCAGGGCTTCTCCAGCTGTCTGTGGGGTTTCAGCGCTGCGCTCACACTGCTGACTTCAGCACATCATGCATATGAATATGCTTCATGGAATTCAGATGAACATCACCTTGACTTGTTTCGTCTTTTTTTGAGTGAGAAAAAGAGCAAGTAGTATCAATGATTTCTTTCAGTGCTGCTGCTGCACAGAAGGCCAAGAAAGGAAAGATGGAGAAAGTCACCGCTTTTATTGTGTTTGTTGGGTTGTTCTCTTTCTCAAGAACACATCCAGGTTATATTTCATCCCAAATTCAGAATATTTAGATCTCCTGTTTTGCTTTTGACATTGATTATTAAAGAGATGGTTCAACCCAAAACAAAAATTCAGTCATTTACTAGTTTCTGTTTTTCTGCAGAGCACAAAATAATATTTTCCACACAGTCATGGTTCATAACCCCCCCCCCCCCCCCCCCCCCCACAAAACAAACACACC